ACCCATCCCCGAGTCGATGTATAGTTGTTTAACTTGGCGCAAGGTATAATTTGTCCGGAAAGTAAAATGTAAAGAGAGACTTATATTTACCGTGGATTACACAGTACTTTCATGTATAGTCTTTGAATTTGTAAACATGAACAATTTTACTATTCTAAAAAACAAAACAATAATATCTTTCTCATGAAGTACAAATTGTACTCGCTTATCAGTACTTGCAAAATTACAATCACAGATCCTCATACCATATGTTGTAGACTTGTAGTGTGGATGTCTTGTCAATTTTTTGGATGGAAAAAATTAATTTACCAAGATATGATGTAATCAGACTTGGTGTGTATTTATAGTGTATGGTGTTATCGAAACAAGTGTGATCAGAATACACACCAATCTGTAGCCCACACTTACTGTATAGTGCACCACCTCATATACACTCCGAAATTCACTCCTAAGAAACCCGGCCCTTAGCTTGAAGTCATTATTTTCATCCAAAAATTGAGAATATATGTGTTGGTTTGGAAAATAGAATTGTATTCTATTTACTATATGACATAATTAAGAAAGAAATTATTATTTTGTACTTTGTGCTGGATTGTTTCACTTTTCGTCTTCACAAATGAGTTTCTTGAGTGCGGCAGACCATCTTTTGACTTTTAACACCGCTCTTCATAAATGGTCTCGTTATCGCTACGAATCATCAATCAAGAGTCCCTAAAAAAAGGTGTCGGGCTATGTTTTTAAGAAATTAAAGCTAAAAATTAGCAAACACGTAAGAGAAACCTGGTATATCATAATATGAATTAAATCAGCACTATGTGACACAAATTAGCTCATGAAAATATATAAAACCAACTCCAATACGCATAACATACTTGTTGAATCATGGAAGTATCTCTTCACAACTTTTCTAATGGTGGGGTGCACACGATATTCCTGGAAACATGATACAAAGTTTAGCATCGTAAAAAATGGGATGCAGAGTCAATTTTTCCTTCTTTATCTAATGCGGCTACAATTATTATTAGTTGAAAATTTTAAGTCTTAAATATTAAATCAATGAAATAATGTAAAAAAGGGAAATGGAAACTAATAATCCAACATTTTAGCAGTCTTCTTACAACAGTCCACCTTTTTCGTTATTCAAGAATAATCCAACATTTGCACCCCATCTTCATTCGGTGGTCCCCGCTATTCCAAGTTATTTTCTTATCTTTGCAAAATATTATCTTTGTTAAAGGTGAGATTTATGGTATAATGGATTGCAAAGATAAGAAAATAACTTGGAATAGCAGGTCATCAACCGGTCAGGGACCAGTGAATGAAGATGAGGTGCAAAGGTTGGATTATTCATGAATAACGAAAAGGTGAGACTATTGTAAGACCGCTAAAGGGTTGAATTATTAGTTTCCATTTTCCCTATAAAAAATAGGAGTTTGGACTTTAGACTGGACAAAAATAGGGCTAAAAAATTTCTTCCGTTTTTCTCCCAGTTTGCATGACACAACAAAGGAGAAGCTCCAACCAGGCAGCCATCTGCGACAGACCTTAAAAGATGGGACATCGTCGCCTCTGCCTCCACCCCGCGTGTCAAGCTTGCTGCTCTGGTCCTCTGTCTTCAACGGCCAGCGACGCTGGCGCCCGTAGCAGTGGTTCGAGCTTTGTTTCCCATCTGCGAGCTTCATCCATATGACGACAATCTTTGATGGCTGGGACAAATCCTATAGACGATGGAGACTTTGGTGGATGAAGCAAATCTGTCCTCCACCATGGGTCTAAGCAAATCCACGGTTGACCTTAGGGTGCCCAGATCTGAAATTTTTGGAGGGGTTCGAGCTATTTAGGAGAGGGCTGAGAAGGGAGGCTAGCCGAGAATGGGAGGGGGACTAGGAAGGGGGATACCGGGAATGAGAAGAGGCTAGGAAGGGATTTCCGGGAATGGGAGGGGGCTAGGAAGGGACTGCCGGGAATGGTAGGGGCTGGGATATGACTGGGGAGGAAGGGGAACTGGAGCTGGGGAGGGGAATGGGTATGGTTACTATCGGGTTGGTGTTCGCATGGACGGGTTGGTCATTGGTGGGGTTGGTCACTTGTCGGGCTGGTCATGGTCCTGATTGGGTAATTGGTCACGGGTCAGATTGGTCACAGGTCAGATTGGTCATGGTCATGTACTGATTGGGTAATTGGTCAATGATGGGGTTGGTCATTGGTTGGATTAGCCATGATCATTGATTGGGTAAGTGGTCATTGGTCGGATTGGTCATGTTCATTGATTAGGTAATTGGTCATGGTCTTGATTGGGTAATTGGTAACGGGTTAAATTGGTCACATGTCAAATTAGTCATGGTCACTGATTAGCTAATTGATCACTAATCAGATTGGTCATTGGTCGGATTGGTCAGGGTCATTGATTGAGTAATTGATCGATGGTCAAATTGGTCATGATCATTGATTGGGTCATTGGTCACTGTCGAATTGGTCATTGGTCGAATTGGTCATGACCAATTCAAAGCTTTCTGAAAACCTGCTAAATCTATATAAGTAAACATTTATGTGTATAAATTTATTTAAAAATATTCTTTGCAGCTGGTTAGTCTAATTAACTTGATGGAACGTACAATCAAACATAAAAACTTGCCTAAATAACTTGAAGTTTTTATATAAGAAAAATTGGCCGCAATAATAATTCTGAGAGATAATAATCTATAATCCGCTAATTCCCCAAACCGAAAAGATGTTTATACTTCTAAGAAAATTGAAAACCATACTTCTAGTGAAATCCATGTTGAATTGAACAATATAATTGTTTTATATGATTTGATGTAGTCAATCTAAACAACCTACTAAACACGCTCTTCTTATTGATCCAACCCCGGGTCAATGTGAAATTATTTTACTGAAGACCCAAGATCTAATTTGTCGGGAAGATATAAATTATATTAAGAGGGACTTTTACTTTGCATAACACGCTTTGTTAATGTAAACCCTTGGACTATGTTAAGAGGGACTTTTACTTTGCATAACTTACAAAACGAATAATTCACATATATTAATAAATAAAATGTAGTCAAAATAGAAAATTTGAATAATCTAAAACTTTCAATTTTACAACTACAAGGAATCGAAGAATAATATTAAAGAAATAATTAATTTTTCTATTTAAGGGAATTTAAAGTGTGTTTAGTCACATCAACGGCAAGAGTTAACGATCTGTAACACTTTTTTTGTTTAAAACGACGATCTGTAATACATGAAAACAAAATCATGTTATTTCAATAATAAAGCAAAATAAATTTCTACAAAATCATTGGGAAACTGAATTTTAAGCTTTAATTTGACATAATCGATCTAAACAAGCTACTAAACATGTCATTCTTATGGACCCATCCTCGGGTCCATGTAAAGTTATTTAACATCGAGATAAAATGTGAAGGGAGACTTTTATTTACTCTAGGTTACACACTATTTTCATGTATAGTCTTTGAATTTTTTAAATATTAGCAATTTTACCATTTTAAAAATCAAAACAAGAATCTCTTTCTCATGAAGTACAAATTTCACTCTCTTCTTAATCCTTGCAAAATTGCATGCCCGGATCCTCAAACCATATATTGTAGATTTGTAGCTAATGTGGATGTTTTATGAGAAAACTGTCAAATAGGCCCCCGTACTATATCGAAAAAGTCAATTAAGCTCTCGTATTTTGGAAACACCCAATTAAACCCTTGAACTTTTTAAAAACACTCAATTAGGCCAATTAGTGGGTAACCAACCGGTTTCCTGGGCACTTGCACGTGTGGCAGTCCATGTGGCGGTCTACATGGCAAATATTAAAATTTCTTTTTTCTTTTCTCAGTTTCCTTCTTTCCCAGATAGCTGCAACGCCAGTACTACCCATCTCCTTCAACCAAACCTTCTGCCCCACCAGACTTCTTCATTCCTCTATTTACGACGGCCAACCTTATTAAAAAAGGCAGTTAAATGTAATATTCTAGGCTAGTAATTGCGAAGAATATTCAAGAACACAGGAATTCTTACAAGAAGAAAAGAATTCGAATCCAAACTCAGAGATGAGATTCAGGGAAGAAGAAGATCAAAATAGTCTGCCTTTATTCCCTCTTCACAATGTATATGTACACCGCGTACTTACAACTCAGTCAACAATGCTAACAGACTCCATTGACTAATTGTATGTAACTAATCTATTAAAATGTGTATAGATGTGGCATTCCACGTGTACATGACAAGTCAACAAAAAAGGTATTAATATCTGGCTACATAACAATCCACCCTCCTTAAACACAGCTAGTCCTCAAGCTGCAAGCTGGGTTTTCACAAATTCAGGAAAATTCTTTGTCGGCTCTTCATAGGATTCCCGTGTAGCATCTTCTCTAGTTCCATTTGTCCATTGAATCAACCAATATATCACAGCCTTATTTCCCTTCTTAGCCATCTTCCTTTCCAGCACAGTCATAGGCTCCGCTAGAATGACTCCTTGATCATCCAACTGATCACACTACAATAAAATGGATTTATAGAGGCATACCAAATTTGCCTCTAAAAATAGTAAATTAGCCTCTAATGCCTTTTGGGGGCAATTTAGTGGTTGCCACCAAATAGTCCGTCGCAAAATGATGGTTGCCTCTAAATACACTCTTTAGAGGCAAAAAAAGATATGCTTCTAAAAATATACATTTAGATGCAACCATACACATTTGCCTCAAAATGTCATTAGAGGCAACTGCTTTATTTTGTTTCAAAATGTTATTAGAGACAATCATACCCAAGGACTCTAGATGTTATTAGAGGCACTTCAAATGTTGTTTTGAATGCTTTTTAGAAGCAACCTAAAAAAATAGGCATTTGTCCTCCATGTGGTAATTATAGGTACCAAATTTCATATATTTTCTAAAATTTTCAAATACAGTACAATTTAATATAAGAACTCGCAAAACACATAATACCAAAATAATATTTCATCTATTAACAAAATGTACAAATTACATAAATAAGTTGTTCAATCTGATCTACGTTATCTCCATGTATAAGCTCTAAAACGAAACTGACTAAAACATTATCATGTATAGAAATAAATCCAACTGCTTCACTAAAACAGATTAATGTAGAGGGATCACTCTTCCTTTTCTTCTTCTTCCTCAACATCCTCCTGATCATCACCATCTTGCTCTTTTTTATGCTCCTTGACAACCTAGCATATTGTAAATTATATATAGTAATTTTTATAAAACTTCAAAAGTATTAAGAAATAAATAATGTACAAATTAATTACTAGTAGGAACATCATGAAAACTGACTTTTTGTACAATTGAAAGCTCTTTGGTGGCTCTTGTATTATAGTACCAGTATATCCATACAGATCAAGATTTCTCCATCTGCAAAAGTTTATTAGTCAACCTACAATCAGAAGGGGATCATTAGAAAGTTTTTTAATAGGAAGTTAAAATGACAGTACGTAGTTTCAACCTATGGTAGGTATATATGAGCAAGATTATAACAAGACTTCAGGGGCAGAATATCTATAAGAAACACAAAAATCAAGTTATAATTAATGAAGATGGTCTATGGCATATATATAGACATGTGAATTACATATCCATTTCCTGACAACTAGTGAGACAAAAACAACATCTTTTTCTTCTTCTAGGAAGAAGACAGCAAAGCCTCTTCTCATAATATTAAAGAAAAGCTCAAACATGATCAGTTGGATCGCACCAGAAATTAAAAAAATAAAAAAACAGCGCAGCGAGTTTTAATGAGAGCAAACTTGCCAAAATCTCTACACAGTTCTCTTGTTTTCTTATTTATAAACTCAATACAAATCTGATAAAGAGAGCACACATAGTTTTAATGACTCAATATATTATTGTTTAATGAAAATAGTTTTTTGCTCCTGTTTTCTTGATAATTTTAGTAGTTATGTTGTGTGTACTTTTCTAACCTGACCACCGTTCTTACATCTAAAAGACAAAATTATATTGAGTATCCACTTAAGTAATGAACATGCTCTTATTCTTTGTAAATAAATGCATTTCAATGCAATAGAGGAGAGCTTACTTATTACCGTTCATTACAGGGGCTGAACCCAGATATTGCCATTACTTCTTCATGGAGTTAATGATGGAGTAGTCGTAGCTAATCTGAAATGTAGTTTCAATCTGATTAATGAATGGATGATGTCAGTTCTAGTATGCAAACCATCAGTAGCTTAATGTCTTAAAAGGAATACTCAGAAATCTTAAGAATAACTAATCAAATATGATTACATCATTAACCATTAATAAAACACACTAGTAGAACCAAAGAAAAGAAGATAAAACACTGGGTATCCTCATCCCTATTTTCATGTTCATAACCAAGAATTCATCAAGGGATATCAAAGACCTAAAATGGAATCAAATGCCACACAGAATCAGTAAATGAAATTGTGAGCTAGGGTTTTGTAGTTCCAATGAGATTGGGCTTACCAAACAACGGGAGAGGAAATAGGTGGAGAGGAAGATTTGGGCGGAACAAAAGGATCGGCGGAGGAACTTCTGGCTTTTTAGTTTCCATAACCATCCTCTTTAACTTGACTGGTATGGGCTCTGCTTACTCCATTTGGTGGAAGTGTTTCTATAATTTTACAATCAACATTAGTAAATAAAAAAATGGTAACCTCAAACCTCTCAGTTGTTTCTCCATAGAAGCCCGGCCTTCTCAGTAAAAAACGCAGATGGAATTCCAATTCTCGCTCTGAGATTGCCGGCGATGCCCTCTGCCAAGATCCCTACCGGTGTTGCATTCCAGAAGCTCTCCAGGAATCCTCATAGTCACGTTGGTCGAATCTGCCTTGATCTCTACTTGGCCGCCATCAGGAGTGTCGCCTACAGATCTGCGATTCCTCTTGTCACTGAGGAAACCCCTCTGGCGTGCTTCTCATCCTCTTGTCACTGAGAAACCCCTCGGCGCGCTTCTCATCCTCTTGTAACTGAGGCCGGAGATCGGCGATTCCTCCTCATATCTTCAGAACACTGTCCGGAGCGATGGATTTAGGGTTAAAAAATGCGGCAATTGTGAAACTAAGGCGGCAAACAAATTGGGCAAAATTTTGGTACATGGTTGCCGAAGATGACAAACTTGAAAGATCCATTCCATAGGTTAACTTACAAATTACGGAGTATGAAATTGAAGCCTTTAAAAAAATTGGAAAGTGTTTTAGCCAAGTAAAGTTTGTAAAAAAATATTGATTACCCGGAAAAAATATTAAAAGTCCTTTTAATAATATTCAAACTGTTTGTATTGACTGATTCTGCTACAATGTATGAAATTCCAACTAAAATGGCCGAATTAGCCGATTCTGCATATTTATGAAAAACTATATTTAAAATACATTTTAGTACTAAAATAAAGAAAAAATTGTATGAAAAACAACTAAAATGAACCTATAGAGTAAATTCAACCAATATCTGATAAGCCGAAAAAAGTGTCACCAAAAGGACTCTAAGTGATTAAAACTAGTCAAATATTAAAATTCAGAACACTCTAGAGGCAATAGCAATTGAAGTACCATTAATTAACTTCACCTTTTAGAAAATTAAGAAAATTAGTTGTCCAAAATTTGGTGTCTATAATTGATTTGATATTTTGAAGAAAACATTTTAGGTGTGATATGATTTCGCAACAAACTTTTAGAGGCATTCCTAAAAAGGTTGCTCCAAATAATATTTTTTAGGGGCAACTATGCTTTTGCAACAAGCTTTTGGAGGCAATCCAAAAAAGTTGCACCAAATAATACCTTTTGAAGGCAACCAAGATTATTTGATGCTAAAAAGGCCTTTCAGAGGCAAATTGCTTCAAAGTGTTGCCTCCATAAACAATTTTTCTTGTAGTGTGAGGTAGAGTTAGTTGCTCAGGTACTTCTCCAATATGCCTCTTAAGCTGAGATATGTGAAATACTGGGTGGATCCTGGCTTCTCCTGGAAGATTGAGTTTATAAGCTACCTGCCCTAACCTTCGAATAATCTCAAATGGACCAAAGAATTTTGGAGCTAATTTGATGTTGACTCTTCTTGCCACAGAGTGTTGTCTGTAAGGTTGTAGTTTGACATAGACCCAGTCCCCTATTTGTAGCTCCTTATCAGTTCTATGTTGATCTGCCTGGTTCTTCATACGATCTTGAGCCCTTTTCAAATGGAACTTGAGCATATTAATACACTCTTCCCTTGCCCTCAGACTTCTATCTACAGTTTCCACCACACTGGCTCCCATAGCATAGGGAAAATGTCTAGCTGGAGACTGTCCATATACTACCTCAAAAGGGGTTGTTCTTATGGAAGAATGGTAGTTGGTGTTGTACCACCATTCTGCCAGAGGAATCCACTTGGCCCAATCCTTAGGCTTCTCTCCAGACATGCAGCACAAGTAAGTCTCCAAGCATTTATTCATGCTTTAAGACTGTCCATCAGTCTGGGGATGATATGCTGTAGACATCTTCAATTTCACCTTCTGTAACCTGAAGAGTTCTTGCCAGAAGTTGCTGATAAAGACCTTGTGTCTGTCACTAACTATAGATTGGGGAAGGCCATGCAGTTTGAATACATTATCAAAGTATGCCTGAGCCACATTGATAGCTTGATAAGGATGAGATAGTAACAGGAAATGTGCATATTTACTGAGTCTATCCACCACTACAAGAATAGTATCCTTATTCTGAGATTTTGGGAGCCCTTCTTTGAAGTCTATAGATATGTCCTGCCAAATGGCTCCGGGTATGGGAAGAGGCTGTAATAAGCCTGCAGGTTTTTGTAATAGAGGTTTATTTTTCTGACAAATGCAGCATAGGGAGAGCCATTCCCTTATATCCTTTTTCATTTTCTTCCAGAAAAAACTGTTTTAATCCTTTGATAGGTAGCTTGCGCCCCTGAGTGGCCTCCCAAGGCTGAATTGTGAATTTGATGATCATGTTCCCTGTGAGGAGGTAGTTGTTTTGGTTTTTCAAATACCTCTTGAAATTTTTCTAAAACTTCTTGTATTTCCTGGGGAATATTCACAGACTTTTTTCCCACTGTTGCAGTTTGTGAGTGTACCTGCATCAAGCACAATTGCCCCCAGCCCTCACTTAATTCTTTGGACATCTGTTTCCCTGTTATCTTCTGTAAATGTCCCTTCTTACTCCCTCTTAGCACCACCTTTTTATTGCAGTGATGGAATTCCATAATGAGATCTTTGAAATTCCATTTGATAGGACCCAAGGAAGCTAGCCATTGGATGCTTAACACCATTTCACATCCTCTAAGAGGCACCAACATCACATCCATTTGAAATTCATGACCATGAATTGTCCACTGAAACCCTTTACAAGTCTGATTTGTAAGAAGTTTCTCCCCATTAGCAACAGCAACCTCTAAAGGAATGGATTTTGAAATGTGGCATCCCAATTTTCCGGCTGTGTTAGCATCCAGGAAATTATGAGTGCTTCCTGAGTCAATCAGAATATATAGGTCATTATTTCTGGCTCTTCCTGTAACCCTCATGGTTTGGTAGTGTGGTTGCCCAGTTAATGCATTAAGAGAGATCAAGGGTGCCATTTCTAGCTCAGTATTCTCCTTCTCTGAATCTTCCTTCTCTTGGCTGTATTCCCACCATGGTTCTTCCTCTTCTTGAAAACTAGCTTCCTTCTCTATTTCATTTGAGAGTATTTGTATTTGATACAACTGTACGTGCAGTGCATTTGTGGCCTGGAGAATACCTTTCATCACAATAGAAACAAAGATTTTTCTTTCTTCTTTCTTCTATTTCAGTGGCTGACAGGTATCTCTTCCCAGTTGGTTGGAAGGTTTTGGAATCCCTGTTTGTGTGGATTGGTTTAGGCAACATTCCTTTGTTGACTCCTTGAGTAACAGTTCTGTAAGGATTAGTGGAATTTCGGTCAGGATTTCTATAGAGAGATCTCTCTCCTTCACTTCTGTCCATTTTCTTCCATGCTTCTAGGTTATTTGCTTGGAGCTTTGCATATTCCATGGCCTGCAGTAGTGTTTTAGGCTTAAAAGCCTTAACAAAGTGCTTAATGGTAGAACTTAAACCCCCAATAAAGCTATCCAAGAAAAACTCTTCTGGTAATCTTTCACTTCTTTGCAACATTATACCTATGTTGTAAAAACCGGACCGGAGAGTGACCCGGAAAAGTTATCGGGTCAAGGGTCAACCCGGACCTGGAGGGTCAACCCGGTCAACGGCTATAAACCCGGTCAATATTTGTTAAAAAAAAAAATATAAAATACGTGTAATTATTAATCCTATTAAATTTTTAAGGGAAGAAATATTATGATTCGTAATTTAATAATCACAATAAGTATTATAAGCTTATAAAATAGAAGAGTTGATCTACACTGTATAGTTTAACAAAAAAAAATCAAAATGCATTTAGAGTTACATAAATAATGAATATGGATATAACATGCATGTATTACAAAGCATTAAAAAGTGGTATGAGTATTTTTATTTTTATTTTTATTTGCAATGACATATATAGACATCACATAACCAGACAATACAATATTAGTAATAATAGGTATTACTATTATTATTTATTAAAAGAAAATCATAATGTTTCAAATTTCAACTTTAATGTTGAAGGTATAATAATGAAAGAAGAGCCAATTAAGCACACCAACCGTTGTGGCTGAATGGGCAGCACCTTAGCAGAATCCGGAGAGTCCAGGGATCGATCCTTCGCTGTGGGGATATTTTTAATCCGGGTTTGCCGGGTTAATCCGAGTTCTGGGCTGGGTTTCCGGCCGGGTTATGAGTGGTTATTCGGGTTTGGGCGGGTTTAGGGTGATTTGCGGGTTAGACCTTACCCGGACCGGTATTCCGAGCGGGTCGGCGGGTTCCGGGTCGGCCCGCCCGGTCCGGTTCGGGTCTTACAACACAGCATTATACTCCTCAACTGTTAAAAGGAATCCAGATATTCATCTATGGATCTATTCTGTGTCAATTTGTTAAAATCTTCCACAATAGTGCTTCCTAATTTTTCATTGAATCTGGCACAGATATTAATGACAAATTGTTCCCAAGTTACTCTCCCCTGTACTGAAATGTAACTTGTGAACCGGGCTTCAGCTCGACCAGATAAGTACAAAGAGGCAAGATCTACCTTGTTCATGTTTTCTACAGCACATAGTTCAAAGTATTTGGCGCATTTCTGAATCCAGTTTCTAGGGTTAACACCCGCAAATGTTGGAAACTCCAATTTCGGCAAGAATCCATAAGGTTTAGCATGATTACCTGAACTGAACTGACCATGGTGAGAAGAATTTCCCTGAACGGACTCAATTATTGGCGAATTGATGTTGTTGGGCCTGCCGCGGGTCTGCGGTCAGCAATCTGCCAGCCTGCCGGTGCAATCGGACCGCGTGGCGCTTTGCCTGTTCTATAAAAAGGGGGAAGGGCGTGCTACACTATCAGCGATTGCTTTTAGTGTAGCGGTAAGCGCAACGATCCACAATTGGTATCAAAGCCAAAGGTCACGGGTTCGACCCCCGGCAACAGCATGCTGCTCAGTTGTAGGCTGGCAGGTGCTGGGGGGGAGATTGTTGGGCCTGCCGCGGGTCTGCGGTCAGCAATCTGCCAGCCTGCCGGTGCAATCGGACCGCGTGGCGCTTTGCCTGTTCTATAAAAAGGGGGAAGGGCGTGCTACACTATCAGCGATTGCTTTTAGTGTAGCGGTAAGCGCAACGATCCACAGATGTGCTGCGAGTGACTTCCTCCATCCTCTTCACTTTTCTTTTGTAAAAACAACAACAATGCATCCAATTTTTGATTTGTTTCTGCAAATTTCCTTTCGTTCATCTGCATCTAATCCTCCAACTATTTTTCTAAGCTCTGCACCTTGTCTACCATTAGAGCTGAGAGAGAAGCTACGGTTGCCTTTTTCGCCAGGATTTGCTGTAGATTAGGAATCTAATTTCCTAATTTCCTAATTTCGCCAGAATTCATAAGAGCTCTGATACCAATTGTAATATTCTAGGCTA